ATACACAGTTATATAAGCAAGAATTAAACATTCTTGGAGAGCAGATTCAGTTACTGTCCTCTAGAGGCTGATACAAATTTCTCTTCTAAGCTTCTGGAAATAGTGTAGGTTAGCATACGGTACACACGTGAACGCGCGCACACACACACAGGCAGTCTTTTTCATGGCTGCCTAATATTCCATGTATGAATGACTGTCATTGGACTTCCATCAATGGTCATTTGCGTGTTTTTCTGCACTATTACACAACAGTTCTGTACTGTATGCGGCCTAAAACATAGATCTCTCTGTCACATGGGTGTGTGTATTTCTGAGTGCATCCCTAGAAGTGGAAGGAGATGCTGACTCACAGGCCATGTGCATTTTTTCTAATTTTATTTTTATTGGGGTATAGTTGTTTTACAAGGTTGTGTTAGTTTCTACTGTACAGTGAAGAGGAGTTCCCTGCGCTATAGAGCAGGTTCTCATTAGTTATCTATTTTATACATATTAGCGTATACATGTCAATCCCAATCTCCGAATTCATCCCAGCACCCCCACCCACCCCCACCTTGCCTCCCTTGGTGTCCATACGTTTGTTCTCTACATCTGTGCCTCTATTTCTGCCTTGCAAACTGGTTCATATGTACCATTTTTCTAGATTCTACATATATGTGTTAATGTACGGTATTTGTTTTCCTCTTTCTGACTCACTTCATTCTCCGCATGACAGTCTCTAGGTCCATCCACGTCTCTACAAATGACCCAGTTTCATTCCTTTCTATGGCTGAGTAATACTACATTATACATATGCACCACATCTTCTTTATCCATTCCTCTGTCGATGGACAATTAGGTTGCTTCCATGTTTGGCTATTGTAAATAGAGCTGCAGTGAACATTGTGGTACATGACTCTTTTTGAATTATGGTTTTCTCAGGGTATCTGCCCAGTAGTGGGATTGCTGGGTCATATGGTAGTTCTATTTTTAGTTTTTTAAGGAACCTCCATACTGTTCTCCATAGTGGCTGTGTCAATTTACATTCCCACCAACACTGCAGGAGGGTTCCCTTTCTCCACACCCTCTCCAGCATTTTAAAAATTTTATTTATTTATTTTTGGCTGCGTTGGGTCTTTGTTGCTGTGAGTGGGCTTTCTCTAGTTGCAGTGAGTCGGGGCTACTCTTTGTGTGGTGCGCGGGCTTCTCATTGCGGTGGCTTCTCTTGTTGGGAGCATGGGCTCTAGGCACGCGGGCTTCAGTAGTTGTGGCACATGGGCTCAGTAGTTGTGGCTCGCGGGCTCTAGAGCACAGGCTGAGGAGTTGTGGCACATGGGCTTAATTGCTCCACGGCATGTGGGATCTTCCCAGACCAAGGATCGAACCCATGTCCCCTGCATTGGCAGGTGGATTCTTAACCACTGTGCCACCAGGGAAGTCCTGCAGCATTTATTGTTGGTAGATTTTTTGATGATGGCCCTTGTAACTGGTGTGAGGTGCTACCTCACTGTAGTTTTGATTTGCATTTCTCTAATAGTTAGTGATGTTGAGCAGCTTTTCATGTGCGTCTCAGCCATCTGTATGTCCTCTTTGGAGAGATGTCAACTTAGGTCTTCTGTTCATTTTTTGATTGTGCTGTTTGTTTTTTAAGTGTGAATCTTCTTTGCCAAATTTCCCTCTCAAGGGGCTGAATCACACTTTTACACACTTATTATCAAAACATCTCCTAGGTGTTATCAATTTTTTAGTCATCTATTGGAAGGTTAAAAATACGGGTTCCCACCCACGTTTGGATTTGCATTTCTTCCCTTATGAGGGAAAAAGAGAATTTTTTCACTTATTTAAATTTATGTATATTTCTGTTCTTCTCAAACTCGCTGTTCAGGCTTTGTTGTTTGTGGTTAATATTCTGGACATATTTTAAGTATGGTAGCCCACAGTCTGTTATACAGTTTAATGGTTAGTGTTATGTGTTGCATTAGTCTGCTAGGGTTGTCATAACAAAGTACTCCAGACCAGGTGGCTTAAACAACAGACATTTATTTCTCTCCGTCCTGGAGGCTGGAAGTCTGAGATCCAGGTGTGGGCAGGGCTGGTACCTCCTGAAGCCTCTCTCCTGGGCATGTAGATGGCTGTCTTCTCCCTGTGTCCGTCTGTGTCCTAATCTCCTCTTCTTTTAAGGACCCCAGTCCTATTGTATCACGATCCACCCCAGTGACCTCATTTACCTTCATCCCCTCTTTAAAGACCCCATCTCCTAATACAGCCACATTCTGAGCTTCTGGGGCTTAGGGCTTCAGCCTGTGAATTTGGCGGGGGTGGGCACAATTCATCACCTCACATGTTAGCTGGGTTAGGCTATAGTTCCCAGTAGTCTAATCAAACACTAGTTTATATGTCGTTGTGAAGGTATTTGATCAATGTGGTTAACATCCAGAATCAGTAGACTTTAAGAAAAGCAGAGTGGCGGGGGGGGGGCGGATAAATTGGGAGATAGGGATTGACACATACACACTACTATATATAAACTAGATCACTAATAAGGACCTACTGTGTAGCACAGGGAACTCTACTCAGTACTCTGTCATGGCCTGTATGGGAAAAGAATCTAAAAAAGAGTGGATATATGTATATGTATAAATGATTCACTTTGCTGTACACCTGAAACTAACACTACGTTGTAAAGCAACTATATGCCAACATAAACCTTTTTAAAAAGATGCAGGAAAAGCAGGTTACCCTTGACAATGGAAGGGGTTCTTTCCTGGTCAGCTGAAAAGCCTTAAAATCAGAAGTGAGATTTCCCACAGAAGAAGATATCCTGTCTCAAGACTAAAACATCAGCTCCTGCCTAACTTTGCAGCCTGCCTTACCGATTTTGAATGTCACAGCACCCGCAAACGTGGGAGCCAATCCCTTGAAATAAATCCTAGGTGTGATCTGTAAAATAAAAAGTGTATATAATGTATAATAGATAATATACTTTTGTGTTTATAATATAAATATACGTGATATGTATATACATCTTTAGATAGATAAATAGAGTTATCTCCTACATATATATAAACCACATATTATATGATATAAGATACGGATCAAGGTGTTTTGGGGGTTGGCTCCTTCTGGGGGCTGGGAAGAAGGACCAGTCCCAGACCTCTGTCGTGGGCTTGTTTTTGGTTTTATTTTCTTAATATATTTATTTATTTACCTATTTATTTATTTTTGATTGTGTTGGGTCTTCGTCGCTGCGCGGGCTTTCTCTAGTTGCAGCGAGCGAGGGCTACTCTTCGTTGCAGCGCGTGGGCTTCTCATTGCAGTGGCTTCGCTTGTTGCAGAGCACGGGCTCTAGGCGCGCAGGCTTCAGTAGTTGTGGCATGGGGGCTCCGTAGTTGTGGTTCACAGGCTCTAGAGCGCAGGCTCAGTAGTTGTGGCGCACAGGCTTAGTCGCTCCACGGCATGTGGGATCTTCCCGGACCAGGGCTCGAACCCATGTCCCCTGCACTGGCAAGTGGATTCTTAACCCCTGCACCACCAGGGAAGCCCTGTGCATGTTTAATATACAGAACTTAATGACATGTGGAGATGGTGTCTACTCCCATGAAACCATCGCCACAGTCTCTGCCATAAATGCAGCCATCACCTCCAAAAATTTCCTCCCATTCTATTTATTACTACTATTTTTTGTGTGTGATAACATTGAACATAAGATTTATCCTTTCAGTACATTTTTAAGTCTATAATACAGTATTGTTAGCTATAGGCTCTATGCTGTACAGTAGATGTCTAGGACTTAATTTGTCATGTATATGACCAAAACTCGGTATCCTTTGAACCCTCCTGCAGTGTTGGTGGGAATGTAAGTTGGTGCAGCCACTATGGAGAACAGTATGGAGGTTCCTCAGAAGACTAAAAATAGAGCTACCATATGATCCAGCAATCCCAGTCCTGGGCATATATCCAGAAAAGACAAAAAGTCTAATTCAAAAAGATACATGCATCCCAATGTTCATAGCAGCACTATTTACAACAGCCAAGACATGGAAGCAACCCTAGGTGTCCATCAACAGATGAATGGATAAAGAAGATGTGGTGCATATATATAATGGGATATTACTCAGCCACAAAAAGGAATGAAATAATGCCATTTGCAGGGACATGGATGGACCTAGAGATGATCATACTAAGTGAAGTAAGTCAGAAAGAGAAAGACAAACACCATATGATATCACTTATATGTAGAATCTAAAATACAACACAAATGAACTTATCTACAAGAGAGAAACAAACTTACAGACATAGAGCACAGACTTGTGGTTGCCCGGGGAAGAGGCGTGGGGGAGGGAAGGACTGGAAGTCAGCCTCTGGACAGAAGTCTGCCCTCCTCCCTGGGTGCTGACATCGCAAACCGAGCAGACTTCCCTTTCTACCAACGTTGCCTCTTTACTGGCTTTGGAGCAGCGGGCAGCCAGACCCCACTTTCGGTAACAAAGAGAACAGTTTGAAAGCCACTCAGCATTCTCTGAGCCCCTTGGGTGTAGGCAGATGTCTGCAGGTGTGCGGCTTGCTTCCTTCAGGACCTATGAGCACAAAATCTGCATGCCCAGAGAAAGGAGGAACTTTGTCTGGAATTCCCAGCCCTACTGAGTAACAGGGCTTTGGTCTCTGGAATCAGAGCAGTGCAATGCTCACCATGAGAGTCTCCCCATGTCCTGTTCAGCGGTTACCATCTGCCTGTGGCTGTCCCCGCTTGGCATCTCTACCACGAAACTCGCTTCTTCTTGTAACGTGCCCCTCACCATCCCCATCAGTGGAGTTAATGTTTCCGTAATATTAGGAAACATAGAGCTTGGTGGTCACGGTAATGTCTTTTCCTGCAACATCCTAAACGGAACGGTGGCCACGGAACAACTGTGTTGATTAGCTCCTGCCTGCTGGTCTCCAACGCAAGCAGGCATTGGGAGAACAAGAACACCTGGAGGACAAAGGGCAACAGGAAACTGCACTGATATTTACCGATTCTCTACCTTATCTGGAGAAGAGTGAATAAAAGGCAGGTACCGGAACTGCTCAATACAGGGATAGTAGTTGAGCATGGCTGCAAGAAAAGACAGAGGACCCCAAACTGGTGACGAGAAACCCTTCTGTAAACTACTGGCAGCCTGAATCAGCACACCGCTCCCCCTTCTTTCAGCGACTCCCAAGCTCGGAAATAAGAGGTGAAAACGACGTGACTTTTGCTCTGCCTTGTCAGCCATGACATGTTACAGCAAGGCTGACCCTCCGCCAGGCTCCTTTTGTCGATGCAGGGGAAGCAACCCCACTGCTGGGGAAGCTCAGCGGGTTACTAGGAAGCTGGATGCACGTTATTAATTCCTGCCTCAGTTATTTTTCACACCACGGAAATGATTCTAAAAATAACCTGGAGAATTATGTAACTCTCTTTGCCATTATACTCTTGCTTCCCTGATATTTTTTTTTTTTTCTTTTTAAACGAACTTCTAGACGGATCCAGCATGGGCTGCTTTCGCTAGAAGCAATATAAAAGATGTTTATTTCAGTGGACCCTTCTTCTTCATGAAGTTCTAGAGCTGCACTGCTCCTGGGACTTATGACTTAATCTCTGCAGTCTTGGCTGTGCCGATGAAGCAGTGGGTTAAGTTGTAAAATGAGTGTTTTAACATCTAGTGCTCTAACAGTGAGATGTAAATGTTTTCACTGCCTTTCTACAGCCCAGATTCTCCAAGAAAGTAAAACAGGAGAGAGACGGTGAGCTCATCATTTTGAGGATGTGATAGACCAGGCTGGGTTCACAGAAGAGGACAGACTGCAGGGGGAAAGCCCCCGAGCTAATGGCGTTGGAGAATTTTGGAGGGATTGACATCTTCTAAGTCTACCCTTCGATACCCACTGGTATGAAATCCAGACTTCGGGGGCACTGTACAGCTTGGAAGTCAAGATTAACCTTCCCTCACCATGGTTCACCTTGTTTCAAAAGGGTTTTCTTCCATTCCTTTTTAATGAAAGGAAAGTACTCAAAGGCATCTTATTACGACAAGGAAATCTCAAATTGCCATTCAAATATACTCCGAGGTACCTGGTACTGTGGATTTAAGTCATTGATGGAACCAGAATGGGCTGGAAAAACAACTAGAAGCCCCCAGGAGTGCCCTGAGAGCTCCAAACAAGATAATTTACCTTCTTTATTTTTCGGAGATGGAGCACGTTGAATCCATTGTGCATTCCTTTTAAACTCTACGTGAAATGCTCTAGTGAACACAGGATTTTAGTGAGTAGACAGCTGATCTATGATTTCTGCGTTTGCTCAGTTTTACTTATCACTGGAATTAAATCATTCAATGGAATCTATTCAGTTTGGTGAGAATCGAAAACAGGTGGCAGTGAAAACATGTGTCTTGTTTGAAATCTGTTTTTTCTAATGCTTTAGAGCTTCAGGGTCCCTAAATAGATCTTGTCGAGTGCTTTTTTTTTTTTCTTTAATTCCCATCTGTATTTAGTGTTTGTTTTTAAAGTAAATTCACTGAGGGCAGAGCTCTACCTTCTTTCATCCATAAAAAAAATAGATTATTCTCATTCTCCTTCTTGAGTGAACCATGATAGCAATTGAATTAAGTTGACCCAGGTACACATACTTCATCCAAAGTTCAGTTTAAGGGGTTAGATGAAAGCGGGTATGTTGTACTTACTAGTAAAATGGGCAAAAAAATCTCTTAGAAGTATCATCTTAAAGAGCATATATTCCAAAGTGATGTGAATGTGAAAAGACACTGAATATCAATGAAAAATTTGGCCACACTGACTCAGAGCAAAAGCTGGGAACGTATGCAAACCATCTGCTTTCAATTCTCCCTCTAAGTTTAGGAAGATAGGGTTTTTGCTACCAAATTCCTATTCATCTCATAACTAGGAATGGTACTTAGATTAATGTAGCATCCTGGCCAACTCTGCTCTGACCTTTACCAGGTGTGCTGCGGAATTCCGTTGCCGATACACAATAAAATCAAAGGGAAATGTTAAGGGTCAGAACAATCGAAACCCTTTGAAAAATTATGGCCAATTTTCTATTTTTTTTTAATCCACAGAGTCTATTACCATGCTTGGCCCAAATGATGTTCTCAATATACAGCTGAACCTTGAACAACATGAGTTTGAACTACGCAAGCCCACTTATACATGGATTTTTTTTTCAACAGTAAATACTACAGTTCTAAGTAATCCGAGGTTGGTTGAATCCCAGGATGCAACCGGGGACACAGGGACCCAACTGTATGTTATAGGTAGACTTTTTACTGTGCAGAGGGTCACTGCCCCTAAGCCCCATGTTGTTCGAGGGTCAACTGTGTCATTATTGGGTTGATGACTGAATGAATGACTCCAAGTTATACTGCACCTTGCAATTTGCGAGACCACTAGCCACTGAGATAGACATGAAGAGTTCTCTCCCTCTACTGAAAACCCCTCATAGCAGGGAGCTTACCATTTGTTGCCTTTCTGCAGGAGAGTAATAAAAATAATAAGAAAAACAATAGGATGCCTGGAATAGAAGGCCCCAGATTCATCTTGTTTTCCAGAGAACCATAATGGAGGGTTTGCTACAGTTAATTAATACTGCTCCTTAAGAAAAGGGAGCCCTCCTGCACTGTTGGTGGGAATGTAAACTGGTGCAGCCACTATGGAGAACAGTATGGAGGGTCCTTAAAAAACTAAAAATAGAGCTACCATACGACCCAGCAATCCCACTCCTGGGCATATATCCAGAGAAAACCATAATCCAAAAGGATCCATGCACCCCTATGTTCACAGCAGCACTATTCACAACAGCCAAGACATGGAAGTAACCTAAATGTCCACTGACAGAGGAATGGATAAAGAAGGTGTGGTGTATATAGATATGTACAATGGAATATTACTCAGCCATAAAAAAGAATGAAATCATGCCATTTGCAGCAACACGGACGGACCTAGGGATGGTCATACTGAGTGAAGTCAGTCAGACAGAGAAAGACAGATATCATATGATATCACTCATATGTGGAATCTAATTTGAAAAAAAGATACAGATGAACTTATTTACAGAACAGAAATAGACTTAGAGATACCAAAAACTTAATGTTACCAAAGGGGAAACACTGGGGGGAGGGATAAATCAGGAGCTTGGGATGAACACACACACACACACACACACACACACTACTATATATAAGATAGATCACCAACAAGGACCTACTGGACAGCACAGGGACCTCTACTCAATACTCTGTAATAAGCTGTATGTGAAAATAATCTTTAAAAAGTGTTGATATATGTATACATATACCTGACTCACTGTGCTGTACACCTGAAACTAACACAACATTGTCAATCAACTATACTGCAGTAAAAGTAAAATTTAAAAAAAGTCAGAGATCCACCATAGAACACTGTGCCTAGAACTAACAACACTGTGTTGCACATTTAATTTGCTAAGAGAGTAGATCTCATGTTAAGTGTTCTCAGACAATAAATAAAAATACATATATTTTTTAAAATGCTCCTCCTTAATACTTCTGGGAAGAAAGAAAGGGAGTGAAATCACCTTGATCAAGCTCCTAGGATATGGAGAACAACCTCCAGTGCTTTCAGAGGTGCCTGCCCACTGCCTACTCTGGGTAATCGCCTCTCCGTGACGTATGATTAGCTGCACTGTTCAAATAAGGAATTGGAGACTGAAGAAGGTTAACTGTGCTAGTAGTTTCAAGCAGTTGATAAGTGGAAGCACTGGGGTTCTAAGCCTTATCTTCCACGCCCAGGTCCAAAGCTGTTCCCTCTTTACTGATATCTATTGAATGAACATGAATTAGTTCATGCTACACTTGTCTTCACTTTAGAGATTTCTCTGGCGTCAGAAAGCATTTAGAAACAAGACGATGCCCTTTGCAGAATGCAAAGCAATTCGTTTCCAACCCACGACTTCTCCCTTCTTTGCTCCTTGAAGGCATCCTTCCCATTCAAGACATCGTTAGTATACTGTGTTCAGGGTTCACACTGAACTGAGCTGGTGGCAGTAAGCAAAGGGCTCTCCCTTCTCTGAAAGAGATTGTGACTTAGCCCGAACCTAATGTGTATGCCTGATCTCACAGTTTCTGCAGGTCAGGAGTTCAGGCACAGATGAATCCTCTTGGTAGAGGTTGGCGAGGCTTCCGTAGAGGTGCTGGGCTGGGCTGAGCTCTCATGTGGAGGACTGACTGGGGAAGAATCCATTCCCAAGCTCAGACAGGTCACTGTAAGATTCTGTTGCCTAGTGGCTGTTGGTTTGAGAGGCCACCATCTTGCTGGTTATCACCCAGAAGCCACCTGCTTTTCTGGGCCATCCTCAGCTCACATGGCCTCCCAGCATGACCATCGACTTCTTCAGCATCAGCAACAGAGAAAGTCTCTAGAGAGAGTCTGCTAGAAAGATGCAGTTTTATGTTGTATAAACAGAGGAGTGACATCATAAGCCTGGGTGCACTGGCGGATACAAGGATACAAAGGCCGGAAGTCAAGAAGTCAAGGATTATTGGGGTGGTTTCCTTAAAGTCTGTCCAGCATAGGAGGTTGACCAAAAAAGTTATCAGTCTGCTTGTCATTATATACATTTGCCCAAACCCATAGACTGTACAGCACCAAGAGTGAACCCTAATGAAACCTACAGACTCTGGGTGACGATGATACGTCAGGGTAGGTTCATCCGTTGTAACAAATGCCCCATCTGCTGGGGGATGTTAATCATTAATCTCCCAAGTCTGACTTGCAATTCTTCCATCATCTGGCCTTGACCTACATTTCCAAGCTCTCAGCGTTGGGTGCAACCCTTCTTTCCTTTCCCACACAAGTCCTGCATCACTTCATGTCTTGCCTTTCCTTCCTTGTTCATGGGGCTGTTCAGTGTCAGGTCAGTGGGCATGCATCCTTGCCCTGTCGCTGTCACTGACTGGTTGTGTCTGGTGGATACCCGTTTTGGTTCCATCTAGTTTATCCCAGTAACTACAGCTGTTTCTCTTTGGGGGACCAATTGTTTTCTGCCCTTCAGCTCAACATTTCTGATAGACTTGAGTC